AAACCACTTGACCAGCTCAGTAATCAGCATGCACGTTTTTAACAATCACTTTTTCCAGATGCTGCATTGTCAAAAGATGCAAAAGGCCATTAGCAACAGTGTTGTTGTTTTTAATCTGTGTGCTAGGGTCTCTGACAGTGCAACATAAAGAGCTGCTATCTTCATTAATTCTACCAACAGTTTCAAAAAACCTCATGTTTCATACAGCAGTGTGAAGGGACCAGCATCAGGCCTCTGGCGTTCTTAGTCCTGCTTCAAGAGGTCAACGTGAGAGGCCAAGACAAACTTCATCACTCATCTGCCAAGTAAACCCTAGTGACCCATCAGTGAAACCATATCTCTTCCAAGCAGCATCAGAGAGGCTCAGAGAGGAACCACAGAAAGAAAAATGAAAGCATCTGGGAAGAGAAAGATGATTTACAGAAGGTAATATGCAAACGCAGGTGACCTAAACAAGGGCTTGAAGTCGCTTGCGCACAAATTCAAGAAGTTCTTCCAAGTTATGATGGGTATAAGCCATTGAAAAGACCCTGCAGGTCTGAAAGTGTTGCCTATTGTCTGACAGCTTCAGTCCTTTAGAGCCAAGCTACAGAACAAAAAGCCTATTTTTGGTAAATCGAAACCAGAACACTGGAGATTTTATGAGGGCTTTGACAAACTGTGGAATGGCGGGGTTCAAACATTGGGGGAAGCTCTTGGATTCTCGCCAGAGGCCCAAATCGCAAAAGCTGCCTCTCTCAAATGGTCCTGCATACAAAAAGGTATTTGGTAATTTAATTTAGGTCCTAGAAAAACCATAAATATATAATCTTTGAAAGGTACACAGCATTTGAATCTGAAGTGCATCCAATCCCCTTCAACTGCTGGAAGGCACTCAAAAAAAAAGACTCAAATTAAAAAGGGCAAAACTTCAGAAATATGTTAAGTGGGGATTGAGGGCGAATCACTTTGGCTTTGATATGACGGCTTTTCTAGCTTACGGCATGATCTGGCTTCTAAAAGCACACACACAATCTACACGTACATCTAGAGTCTTTGCCATGTGGTATTTCCACAGTGTACCTTACATGGGAAGGCTGACTCACTGACATACCGCTGAACCATGCTTTTCTTTAAGCGTCATTACATGTAATGTCTGAATCCCAAAACAGTTTTAACAATTGCCCCAAATCCACAATTTTAAATCACAGAATCATAGAACCATAGAGTTGGAAGGGACTCCCAGGATCATCTAGTCCAACCCCCTGCACAATGCAGGAAATTCACAAATACCTCCCCCTCCACACCTGCAGTGGCCACTGTTCTATGCCCAGAAGATGACAAAAAACCTCCATGTTTTGAAGTGGGTCAGGGAGTGGCACGACTGCACCGTATGACCTTAAGAACATAAGGGGTTGAATCCAGACTAAATTGGCAGTTTCTACCAATTCACCCATCCCGTTGCAGATTCCCCTTCATAGCTGCCTTGAGCAGGACCACAAAGAGGTGGCATAGAAATATTCTAAATAAATAAATAATTTTTTTAAAAAAACCTATTTGTAATGTATATTGGTCCTACAGTTTATCCTCATCTGCTATGACTGGATTTATTGCTTTGTTTGGCTTGCCTATTAACGAGAGCTAGACAGAGCATGCACATCACTCCCATTCCGCAGAAGCTCCATTGGCTGCCCATCTGTGACCGGGCTCAGTTTAAGGTATTGGCTATCACATACAAAGCCCTTCGTGGCTTTGGCCCCTCTTATTTGCAGGACTGCCTCCCTCCCTATGTTCTGGCGCAACAACTTTGCTCACGTTAGCAGGAGCTTCTGCAGGTGCCAACCTGCAAATAGGCAAAATCGACAAATGCCTGTACGCGTGGCTTTCTCTGTTGTGGCTCCCGCCTTGTGGAATGGCATGTCCGAGGGGGTCAGGAAAGCTCCCACTCTCCTGGCTTCCCACAAACTATGCAAAACAAAACTATTCAAGAGGGCTTTTCTAGACAGGCAATAGCCTGGGTTGCACA